GCATTGGAGCTCCACTCTGTCCTCCATCACACCCACGTGCGATGGGAGGAGCTGTACAGCGCCTATGGGCTTGCCAAGCTTGGGATATCACACCCCCCCCGCGAGGACAAGGAGACTGCCCAGGAGTTTTACCAACGCTGGTCTGTGAATCGCGTCCCCTCGCTCTGTAAGGCTACAGCTGTAGCAGCTCACAGTGGCATAGCGGGCTACCCGGTTCAGCTCCTCCTTCGAGGTATGGACTTTGAGCACAGTGGACCGCGCGGTCAGCCCATCACGGCGCGGCCGTTTTATCCTGTCATCGATACCGAGTTTCCGGTCTTTGGACTACTGGAGTTCACTGACCCGCCGAGGTTCGGGCTTCATCGCCTCCGTGAACACAGAGGCGGGGGTGCCCCTCTCCCCAAGAGGCTCTTCAGTGCCCTCCGCTCCACCCATCACCGGTCGCTGATTGGGTCTCACATGCCTTGCGCGGAACCGGCCACCGAGTGCCGCGGCAACGCAGGGGAATCGGCCGTGCCCGGCGCATTCTATTTTTACGCTATTTCCTCTGACACGGTCAACACCAAGCTGTTAGGGAGATTGCAGCGATATGTGTCGTCGCGCTTACGACATTCTTCCCCTCAGGCAACATTGCTCCCGCCGGTGGCTACGACTGGACTGCCACGAGCCCTCTATGATCCTACAGGTGCGGTGCGCCCGGACCCGGAGATCGGAGAGCCTGCCAAGGAGGATCCGACGCTGACCGCGGAGCTGCGCAGTCAGAGCTGTGCCGCCTCTCACCCGGTTGCACCTACCGCTACATGGACTCAACGTGTGGCGGACCTACTGGACGCGGTCGAATCCCCGCCTAGTCGTCTTGTGCCAGGTCACCTCCATTGCCAGCAGGTGTGTACCCGCAGATGATGAAGATGAATTCGCGGAGCAGTATGACACTCTTCGCCGTTACCAAGCTAGGGGCCGCCTTCAACCGCCGGTTAAAGGAATTGACTGCGCTGGAGCACTGCAGCAGTTACTCCCCAGCCCTCCGGACTGTCTTACTCTCCTGTCCCTCCCCTTGTCATTGCCTGCTTGTGAACTCAAGCTCAGCCCACAGAACTTTGGGGTGAAGGTCGTGGATTTTGCGGACCGAGCCCTCATGCTGCGACGCTGTACGGAGAGCGAAGCCTTTCGCGTTTGCCTTACACCACTCCTTGCTGTGTCCGTGGCATTGGCTCAGTTTTGTGATCCAGTCCTGCGCTTAGCGGAAGGACAGGTTTTCGACCTGTCCTGGTACGAGCTGGCCCGGCCGGAGATTTGGTGGTGGCTGCTCCTCGACGAACTATCGGGGCTCAAGAGCTCTCTCCCACGGGCTCTCGCCGGACTGAAATCCCCTGTGCGCGATGGCAGTCTTATCCAGATGTCTCTGGCTCCTAAGCGCGACCCTAATGCAAAACCTGATCCTTATCCGACAAATAGCCGACGGGGGGAGGGTTCCAGCCAACGGCCCACCGCCGGGGGAGGCAGCTCTGCTGCCGAGGACAACAAAGGCACTCCACTTCTGCATTGTGGAGTGCTGCTTCCGGTGCAATTACTCTTCTTCCTTACCCGTGCGTTGGCCGACGACCCATCGTCCGCCCCACACCTGCAACTCGCCAGTGTTACTCCAGGGCGAGATGGCCAACATATTGAGGTCCGAATCACATGCAAGGTCCCTGTTGACTTGGTTGGCCGCCCACAGATTGCCATCGCGGGCCGTGTGATGGAGGGCTTCGAGAACGGACTCCTCCCAGCCAGACGAGGAGAGTTCGAACCGCGCATGTTTGCGTATCCTGGCTCTTATCGTGGCACCTTTCGGCTGCTTTTTCCGCTGGCGGACATTCCGCTGGGGCTGCGTGCTCAGCCGTCGCTGGCGATCCAGGCTGCCGGCTTGCTCCACAGTGTTTTGTGGCGCCTCCGTGCTGTGACCACCTCCGGAGGCTGGGATCTCCGCGCGGTAGTTGCCTACTGGATCCGTGGGCCGCAGAAAGACGTTCTCCGCGGGCGGACAGAGTTGTCTTTGATTTATAGTCGCCAATAGAGGCGACGCGAAACGTAGGAATTTCAATTTTACAACTTATTTAAAATCCGTGCGCTCTTGATTTCATGTCACACTTTTACTTTGACGTGGAATCAGTTGTTCGAGTGCAAAAGCCTTTGGCCTAAGTTCAGTGTGTCCGTAGGTCACGTGTCAGCACATGCACATAGCTGGGAAACACATTGCAGTGACCGTTGACTGAACAATTTTTCTCCCGTCCCATGGACTTCGGCGACGCCCTCGCCGCTGGTTCTTCAGGCCGTTCCGAGGACAGCTCTACCAGCACCCGCGAGCTTCACAGTCAGCACATTTACGAACTCCAATTGGAGGTCAACGCCCTCCGTGCTGAAATCCAGACTCTCAGGTCCGCCTTGCAGGCTTTGGAAGAGTCCCTTGCTCGTGCCTGGGTGAACCAGACCGGCCACCACCAACGTCTCTCGTGGCTCGAAGGGATTATTCAGAGCTTGAGGACTGCCTGTCGGGTGTTTCTTGAGCCTGGCGTGCAGTCTGCCTCAGATCTGCCATAATTTTGACCTTTGCTGACTTTTCAATTGGGATATGGCGGGTCAGCCTAACTCAGACGCTTTGCTTGGGCCATCCGAATTTCATGCGGCCTTGGTCGCTGCCGAGAGGCCGCTTGTTCTGGATGCTCAGTCTCTTCTCATCAAGGACTTGTCTTGGCACATAAAGGTGGGCGAGGCGTCTCGAAAGACTCCTCTTCTCCCTTGGGAGACGGGTCCCCTTTCTTGGATCTTTGGTAGGCCACTCAAGAGGCCGCGTCTGGAGCTACCTCGGGACCTGTCTCCCGATTCAGGATCTGCTGTTGATGCGGGGGTGCCTCTGGTGCATCCACAGCCGGTGCCCAACTTTGCAAGGGAGCGTCTTAGGATTGCAGCTCTCCTGGCTACAGACGACAGTTCTCGCTGGGAAGCTCTGAGGAAGTTCAGGACGCTGGTTTTGCTTGACCCGGCGCTGTCTCAGGTGGGGCAGTCACTTGCGGCTGAGGCTTTGATTCTGCGAGACGGCGATCAGATGAGGCGAACTTTCTTGGATGTCTTCCATGGCAAGAGTACAGCTACCTTAGTGAAGAGAGCCTCGTCGCTTTGGAGGTTTGCCAACTTTTGTTTTGACAATGGTCTGGGAAATCCGCTCGGGGCTGGCGAGAAGGTTCTGTACCGATACATGTCGCACCTCGAGGAACATGGCAAGCCGACATCCGCCTCGGCTTTCCTTCAGGCCTGGAACTTCGCTGTCCACACTTTGAAGCTCTGTAGCCCGGACGCTTTGGGGGCCTTGTCTGCTAGAGTGAAGGGTGCTGCGCAGCGCATGTACTCCTTGAAGAGGAAGCTTGTTCAGGCAGTACCTTTGACAGTGAAGCAGGTGAAAGGCCTGGAGTACGTGGTCCTGAAGTCCCCGTACCCCCATTGGCGAATCATTGCGGGTCACCTCTTGATGTGCATAGGGTCTAGCTGCCGATTCGCCGATTCCTTGCAGCTGACCAGCCTCAAGGTCAGCACTGCTCAGGGTGTTACCCTGGTTGAGGCAGAGAGCTCGAAGTGGAAGACGGCTTCGAGGAAGGACCAGCTCCTTCCTTTGGCCTCCTTGGGAAAGTTCTTCGCTGAGGAGTCGTGGGGAGAAGTTTGGGCTAAGGAGCGCGAGGCTGCTGGTCTTGGCCTCGGCCCGGCGCTCCCGGCTTTCTCCGAGGTGACTGGTGAGTGGCTTAACCGTCCTATGTCCACGGGGGAGGCCACTTGTTATCTTAGGGAGTTCATGACCGCGGCTTCCCAGATGACTGCTGGTTTAGGGTGCCATTCTCTGAAGTGCACTGTCTTGTCTTGGGCTGCAAAATCCACGGATGTCCCTCTCGCTGATCGACGTTTGCTGGGGCATCACATAGATCCGGGAGTGGTGTCGCCGCTTACTTATGCGAGGGACGAGCAGACCCGACTCATGAAGGTAGTTCACCTTGTGGTGGAAAAGATCAGGAAAGGAGCCTTCAAGCCGGATGCCTCGAAGGTCTGGCGCCTCGCGAAGCTGATTGAGTCTGGTGGCACGGAGCTGCTTATTGAACAGACTGTGCAAGGCGATCCCTCTATGGAGGAGTCCGATGACGAGGAAGGCGACTTCGGCGACGGGGACATGGCCGCTGGAGGAGCGTGCGCCTCGATGGAGCGATTGAGTGCAGCTGAGCTGGACATTGCTAAAGATAGTCGGATGCATGTCTACTCGAGGGTGGTGCACATCCTGAAAGGATCCAAGTTCCTATGTGGGAGGAACCTCTCTCCAAACTATGAGGCCATCGATCCGGATGTTCCCCTCCGAGACTTGCCGGTATGCGCTCAGTGCTCGCAGAAGTACCAGCAGTGATTTTGGGATCGAGGGGTGAGTTCTGTGTCAGAGTCCGAAATTTTGTCGTGTGTTCCTGGGCCTGACCTGGCGGAGCCCCAATTGGGCGTTGACCGCTGGGCGTTGAGGGCGCAAGAGCAGGAGCAAACTCGCCAGACAATTCGAGCCTCACCTTTGCCAGACCTGGCGGAGTCCCCCTACTGGGGGCGTTGGCCGTTGGGCGTCGAGGGCGTAAAGGGTGGAGGCGAGTCGCTATGACTCCTCAGATGATTTGAGCCTCACCTTATCCTGACCTAACGGAGACCCCACGTCGGGGCGTTGTCCGTTGGGCGTCGAGGGCGTAAGGTCGTGGGGCGCTCTTCACTTTGGGCATTCCGTGGCCTCACCACAGTAACAGTGTGACCTTGTCTCGCGCGAAAGGAATTTTGACTGCAGGCGCGAGTGGGGCAGGCAGTCCTACGGGCGTTGTGCCGAGCTCTTGGTGGTTCTGATTCTCTGAGCTGCATCCAAAGTTGCCTTGCTGACGACAGTCCTGACTTGTTGGCTAGAGCGAGGAAGAGCGCAGTTCAGTCCGTCCTTGAAGGACGGGACAGTAGCAGCCATGAATTCGACAATTGACAGCGAAGCCACGTTCGCTGCCCGGGCCACCGAGCTCGGCATGGAGCGTGCTCTCTTGGATTTGCTTGTGAACAACAACGTGAAGACGATGGGCGCGCTAGCCTTTGTGAGCCCCTATCAAATCGGTCAAGCAGACGAGAAACCTCTTCTTGAAGCCCTCAAAGCCCTGATAGGGCGCGACTTGACCGCGAAGGAGCTGATCCCAGTCAGGCGATTGTGGTTCGAAGCCTCGACCACAGTGATGGGGGAGTTGAAGCAGAAAGTAGAAAGAAATGACTCTGCTGAACCAGTTCGTCTAGCCATAGCGGAAAGAACAACACGTCTGGATGAGCAGAAAAAGCGCCTTGTGGGCGTGTGCATCAACAGTGAGTCTGAACCTTCTCACCGCCTTGTGGATGTTGTCTTCCAGCAGGGCGCGGATCAGCAGCTGACGTGGTTGCCTTGGGAGAAGTTGACAAGTCGGGCTCATGAGTTGACGCATTCTCGCTCCGACAACGCCATCCTGTTTGATGCTCAGGGCAACATGAGGCTGACTAAGAAGATGCAGGAGAGCCAGTGTACTCTGACAGGTGAGCTCCAAGCTCGACAAGCGCTTCAGAGGCGCGCGTTGGCGTATGACCTCGCCCGCTTGTGTGACTATGCTGTCATGGAAACCTACCATGAGGAGTTGTTCCAGCTCCTCACTCGGCCTCCACCTCCCAATGCCCTCTACGTCTCAATGGGCCAAATCCGAGAAGCTGATAAGCACTTATTCATCAGGATCGCAGAGCAAACCCGGGGCTCTCTCACTGCTCGCCAGGATGGTGCTAAGCCCTTGCAACAGCAGCTCGAGCTTCTCAAGAACCATCCTCAGGTGCAGTTCTTCTTGATGCCACCGCAGAAGCCTCTCCGCTACTCTCCTTATGATGGCAAAGGGGAGGGCAAGAAGGGAGCTGGAGGCAAGGGAAAAGGGAAAGCATCGACCGGTGCTCCCGCAGGAGGGGCTGCGCAAGTGGACCTCCCATCTGGATGCAGTGCCAAACACAATGGCAAGCCAATATGCTTTGCGTACAACAGGGCGGGCTGTAAGTTTGCCAAGGATGGCAAGCGGTGCAGACGAGGTTTCCATATATGTTGGAAGTGTTTCAAGGAGCACAGCTATAGCGCTTGCCCGCTCGGCGGGGCCTGACTCGGTGGTAACACTTCTGAGGCTTCGGTGCATGACGCTGCTCCCCGTCTTCAGGCGACGGCCCTTCTCGACCTTTTCGAGTCGCTGCCTAATGAGGTTGCGCCTCGCCCTGGATCGACTTCTTCAACGAAGGTGTTTCAAGCTGGGGCCTACATTTTCGGTGTACTGGCCGGTCTACGCCGGTCTTGCGCCTTGCATGCTGAGAGTATCAAACCCTTTTGCCGTTTTGTAGTGGAAAACACTCCTGAGGAGTTTGTTTTCAGTAACATTGCTGTCTTTGCGAACTTACGGACTGAGATGCACCTAGATCCTAATAATCTGGAGGGCACTTTGAACTTTGCCATTGCCCTGTCTTCCTTCGAAAGCGGACAGATTCGACTTGAAGGCGGGCCGCAGGGTTCTGAGGCCCTTTTGGATGTCAAGCCAGGCGTCTTCTTTGATGCCCGGACTCGACGCCACGGGACCTGTGAATGGACAGGTCAGCGGGTCGTTCTTGTGGCATTCAGCCTCAGGGGCTCCGATCGCCTTTCTGCAAAGGACGCCCAGACCCTAGCATCCCTAGGGTTTAGGCCCCCTTACCCGGGTGTAAATAATCTGCATTTGGCAAGCCAGCTTTCAACGTCAGATGCGCCGGCGCATGTCGCTGCAGCTTCGCCCGGCTTTCCTCCTGTGCCTCCGAATGCTCCTGCCTTTGTTGAGGTGTTCGCTGGCTGTGCTCGCTTGTCAGCTACGTTCGCCCGGGTTGGTTTCAAGGTCATGCCCTTTGATGGCCCTCGGAACCCGCATCAGCCTGAGCATCCTGTGTGCACGCTTGACCTGACATTGCCGATTTGCCAACAGATCTTCTTGAGCCGCCTCGAGAATTCCAGTGTCTTCTTGATTCACTTTGGGTTGCCTTGTGGCACAGGATCGCGTGCCCGCGAGGCGCCACTTCCCCAACATCTGCGAGCCCGTGGTGCTCCTCAGCCTCGCCCGCTACGAGACCATGTGCACGTCTTGGGCCTCCCTTCCTTGAGTCCTCAGGAGTCTGCTAGAGTGGAGGCCGCCAACCGACTGGCCGAGTTCGTGGTGCAAGTGCTTGTGCGAGCACATGATCAAGGCTGGCGCATTGTCATTGAGAACCCCATTCGTTCTTGGATGTGGAGTGTTCTAGCCCACTTTGTGCGCGCGCTTGACAAGCCTCGCTTTCGGTCATGGTACTCCGAGCTGTTCACTTTTGATTTTGATCAATGCTGTTGGGGCGGTCGCCGTCGCAAAACTTCCAGGTTCTTGACCAATGTGCCCGAGCTTCGCTCCTTGGTGGCTTCTTGTCAAAATGATCACCCTCACGAGCCGTACCGCATCTTCAGAGGTGCGGCCTCTTCTTGGAAATTCGACACGGCTTCCGAGGCCGAGTATCCTTTGCCTTTGTGCGAACAGTACGTTCGCCTCCTGTGCCCGCTGGTCAATGCCCAGCCGCCAAACCTGCCTAGGCCTTTGGTTCGTCAGGTTCATCGGAAGCCTCCTCTCGTGCCTGAGTACAAATCCTTCACAAATGTCCGCCCTGAAAGTGGTGAGTTTCGCGAGCTCGCGTCAGATCGGGGTGTTGGCGGGAGCGGCTCAACTCAGGGCTCCACGTTTGGAGTCTTTCACTCTAAGGGTGAGTTCCTTGAGAAGGCGCTGGAAGTTGAGCACCCCTTTGATTCCGCCTTTGCCATTGACGATCAGACCAAAAGGAACGTCTTCGAGTTGCTCACCATGGGTCTCCTGGGCCCTGCTCGCAGGCGGATGGACACTCAGAAAAAGCTTTCAGCGTTGAAGCGTGAGCTTGCCGTCGAGGAGAAGCGTTTTCACGCCTCCCTTCCGGAGCACGCCCAAAAGGTGCTCAAGGGGAAGAACATCTTGTTGTGGAAGAAGCTCCTTGAGGAGACCGGGTTCCCAGACATCACGGTCGCTGAGCTCATGGAGGGCGTCCCACTGGTCGGTAGGCCTAGTAAGTCTTCCTTGTATGGGTGGAAGGAGCAGCCGGCGACCACAACGTTGGATGATCTTCTTGTTTCCTCCGTGTGGAGGAACCCTGCGCTGGCGGCGAAGGGCAGAGTTGGGGACGACCCCGTCCTAGCCGAGAAAATCTGGCAGGCTACACTTTCGGAGGTGGAGAGGGGCTTCATCTCGGGGCCCTACGATTCGGAAGAGGACGTTAAGAAGGCCCTTGGAGTTTCTCACATCTGCTGCAGCCGGCGCTTTGGGGTGAAGCAAGGTGCAGGCGATGCTTTGAAGTATCGCCCCATCGACGACTTCAAGGAGAGTGCCATAAATTCTGCCTACCACGCGGTGGATCGCTTGCAGCTGCATGACGTCGACTACTTTGTTTCCTTGATAAGGTTTCTGGCGAACTCCGTGGACGACTCGGGTGCAGTCAATGTCGAGCTGTCCGACGGGACAGTGCTGAGTGGGGCTGTGCACAGTGACTTTCGATCGGGGCGGCGCTGGCTTGGACGGTGTCTCGATCTGGAAAAGGCGTATAAGCAGGTTCCCATATTGGCCGCTCACTTGCCCCTAGCCGTCATAATGGTATGGGACCCGAACACCAGCCGCAACAGATATTTTACCACTTGGAGCATGCCGTTCGGCGCATGCGCGGCCGTGTTTGGATTTAATCGCATATCCAGGTCGCTCTTACATCTGGCCTCGCACCTTTGCGCCGTCATAGGAGGCGTGTATTTTGATGATTATCCTATGATCGAGCCTGCTGAGTCTTCTAGGATGTGCAGCCTCTCGGTGGAAACCCTGCTTGACTCCTTGGGATGGTCTTATGCCGTCGGTGACGACAAGGGTCAGCCTTTTGAGGAAACCTTCAACCTCCTTGGCATGCGGCTGGGCGTTTCTAGAATCATGGATGACATCCTCGAGCTCGAGAACAAGCCCAGCCGGGTCCAGAAGCTCGTTGAGGCAGCCAGGAGAATGGCTGCGAGTGGGGTTGTGAGCAAGAGTGACTCTGCATCCCTTCATGGCCAACTGAACTTCATGGTGGGCTTCGCTTCCGGCCGTTCCTTGAAATTTGCTGCGCGAGCCTTGTCAAACCTTTATCACTTTCCACGGGATCAGCCTGACGAGGAGGTGAAGTCCTTGGGCCGCTACCTTGAGTCTGCGCTTTTGAGCTTGGAGCCCAAGGTCATCAGGCTGAGGTCAGGCGGGAGGCCGGTGTCAGTCTTCAGCGACGCCTCTTACGAAGATGGAGTGGCGGCATGGGGCATTGTCTTGGCAGACCCTGTCTCTGGTGAGAGGCTGGTAGCTGGCGGGATTGTAGATGATCACCTTGTGCAGTTTTGGCTTGATGAAGGAGTTGAACAAGTCATTTCACAGGCCGAGGCCTTTGCTTTGGTTCTGGCAAGGAGAGCTTTCAAGGACCACCTGCAGTGCCGCAGATGCGTGTTCTATGTCGACAATGATGCGGCGCGCTATGTATGCATTAAGGCGAGCAGTCCGAGCCGAACCCTCCTCTCCTTGGCCTGCTCCTTTTACGCCAGTGAGTCTCATGACGGAGTCATTTCATGGCTGGAGCGTGTTCCTTCTGCGAGCAATATCGCTGATCTCCCTAGCAGGGGAGAATGCGCTGAGGCGGCAAAGCTGATAGGAGGCAAGATTGTCGACTGCAGTCAGATTGCATCGGACCTGACTTCGGAAATTTTGTCCGTGGATGATCTTCCGTGGAGCCTTCTCGCTACGTCCTACAAGGACAAAGCACCTCCGATCTTCTTGTGACTGCATTCGGACGTCTGCTGGGGAATGACGGGTCCGTTGAAGGAAACAGGTTCGCCTGTGTTATCCTTGGATCGTCGGTGGTGCACATGTTTCTCCCCTTGATCTGATCGCAGTCCGAAGGTGCCAAAATAGCGAAGGTGTCCGAGTGATTGCAAGTGAAGCTTCAATATTTGAAGATTGCCTTTTTTTATAACATATTGATTGATTGGGCTATGCCCGAATATATGATTGTTTTTTAACCACGTTTCGTAAATCACTAAGACGACGTTCTCCGCGGGCGGACAGAGTTGTCTTTGATTTATAGTCGCCAATAGAGGCGACGCGAAACGTAGGAATTTCAATTTTACAACTTATTTAAAATCCGTGCGCTCTTGATTTCATGTCACACTTTTACTTTGACGTGGAATCAGTTGTTCGAGTGCAAAAGCCTTTGGCCTAAGTTCAGTGTGTCCGTAGGTCACGTGTCAGCACATGCACATAGCTGGGAAACACATTGCAGTGACCGTTGACTGAACAATTTTTCTCCCGCCCACCCGCCCGGGAATGACGGGTCCGTTGAAGGAAACAGGTTCGCCTGTGTTATCCTTGGATCGTCGGTGGTGCACATGTTTCTCCCCTTGATCTGATCGCAGTCCGAAGGTGCCAAAATAGCGAAGGTGTCCGAGTGATTGCAAGTGAAGCTTCAATATTTGAAGATTGCCTTTTTTTATAACATATTGATTGATTGGGCTATGCCCGAATATATGATTGTTTTTTAACCACGTTTCGTAAATCACTAAGACAAGAGATTCTATTTTCCGACCCGCCTGTGGCGCTATGCGCACTTCGACGCAACGGAGGCCAAAGCGTTGGTCCTCCTACAAAGGTTGGTCGCACAGGAGGAGGGCCGCACACAAACCCTGCCGGATGGCACGCGCCCAAAGTTCCGGCTAGGGCACCCCCGGGCGCAGGAGCGTTGGAAGGCGGCGGCCGATGACCTCAGAGAAGGGGGACTCGGACCCGGCCTCCAACTCCCCTGTATTTCCACAGAGCTCATGCCACACCTTCATAGTGAGGACCATGACAACCACCAGTATTCCTTTTCACGTTTGAAGGAAATGTACACTGACAGAAATTTCCAGATGCTCTACCTACTGAATGAGAGTCACTTCCCCTCGAATGGCCGTGACATGCAACGCCTGCTAGACAGCTGGCCGTCCGATGAGGCGTCCGGCTCTACACGGTGATAGCAGCTCACCCCGTTAGTGACAGACGACGTCCGTCGTCTTGTCCTTTGGCCTTCGGTTTCCCACTGCCGGAGCCACAAGGGACTAATGCAGCGGGCAGGTGCTCGTGGCATCCTGACCAGTCACATCGTGTGGAGCCGCCTGGACGTCGACATACGGCGATGTTCGTTCTAAATTACACCGGATTACCAGTGTTTGGCACGTGTCCGGAGGGGGACACCCGCCAATGCCTGTGTTCGGGCTACGCTTAGCCTCAGGAAGGATGCTTCCGGTGAGTATCCCCTTGACAAAGAGATGCACCGCGGTTTGGAATCCTACGAGGTCTCCATTGCACTCATGCACCAGGCTCCCCAAGGAAAGAACCCCTTTCGGAACAACCGGAAGCGCCATCCCTCTCGGCCTTCCACGCCGGATCCCCCCACGAAGCAGCCTAAAGGCAAGGGCCGAGGCAAAAGTGCCAAAGGTTCTCCCGCAATGCCCAAGGAGCTTGTCGACCTGAAGGCAAATGCCACCACACCTGAAGGTAAGAGCATCTGTTATGCTTTCAACTTGAAAGAGTGTAAGCGCACTGATTGCCCCCACCAACACGTGTGTGCCAGGTGCTTCCAGCCGCACTCAATCCGCAAGTGTGCCGCTGCCGGGGCGTGAAAGCTTTCGCGACCCTCTGATACAGTTTTGCTTCCTGATTCACAGCTGTCTGAGCCTGCCTCGCCTCCTGTAGCCACAGGAGACCTGGCTGATGCATGCAATCCCGTCTCCCCACCTTGTGAACAGTATGCCCAAACCCTGCTTTCCCGCAGAACATTGAGTGCTGCGGATGTGTTGGGCTTGGTTTCTTTTCTGCAACCCGAATCGCCTCGCTTTCCTGGCGAGTTCAGTTGGGCTACCGGTGCTTACGTACATGGCGGCATAGTTGGCCTGAGACACAATCTAACTCATTTTCCATTTTCGTCCCGTGTCTTGGCGACCTTGGTTTCAAATACATTCCCACAATTAGAGTTTACCTCCGTTGTGGTTTTAGTCAACACCCTCACTCCTGCGCACCAAGACCTCAACAATCATTTGGGCTTTCCCAATGCGTTGATTCCTCTAAGTACCTTTGAAGCCGGCGGTCTTTGGATCGAAGGGGCTGGCGATGCGGTCTGTCCCGACCCCGGGCACCCAGATGCCAAGGGACATGTTTTGCAACTGCATGAGCCAATCCAGTTTGACGCGCATAGACTGCATGCTACGTGCCCTTGGACTGGCAATCGCGCTGTGCTAGCAGCATTCGTGATCAATGATTTTCACAAGTTGGATGCTCAGCATCGCCAGCTTTTGCAGCAGACTGCCTTCCGTCTGCCGAACCTGTCAACCGGGGAGCTCCTTCCTGCGCGCCCCAGCATTGCTTCGCGGTTTCCAGTGATCCTTGAAATTTTCGCGGGTACTGCGCGTGTAACAGCAGCCTTGCGCCGCTGCGGTTTCGTCGGCTCTCAAGGTGTTGATCACGTGGTCGTGGATCATGCTGCCTGCCCTGTCCTGTTGGCAGATTTGACGACTCATGAGGGCCAGAGCATGGTAATGCTTTGGCTGTCGAGTCCTCATGTTGTCGGTGTTTTCATCGCTCCACCATGTGGTACCAGCTCTCGTGCCCGAGAAATTGCACTCCCCGGACCTTCTCCCGCTCCTCTGCGTTCGCTTGATTTCCCTGACGGGCTACCTCACTTGTCTGGTCTCAGTATGGTTCGTGTCAACAAGGCCAATCAGCTGTACCACTTTACGTCGACGATCTGTGCTGAGGCCGTGGAAGTCTCATCATTGCTGTGGAAAACCCACGGAGCAGTCTTTACTGGTCCACCAGCTTCTGGGAAGCCTCCTCCGCTTTCTGTCCAATGCATACCGACTTCCAACACTGTGCCTTTGGCGGGCGTCGGCCCAAGTGGACTCGCCTCTGCCACAACCACCATGCCTTCCACGCGTTGCATCGTGTGTGCCCAGGGGGCGCGTGTGCTGCCCATCACTTGCCTTGGGGTCGTGGGGACAACGGCGCCTTCGCCACGGCCGCTGAAAGCGCTTATCCGCCGCAGCTGGCCACAGCCATTGCCCAATGCTTTGCTCAGGCCGTTACCTTCTTGCCCGAAGCCGAGCCCTCCCTTGCGGCCATGCGAGCCACTTCTGGCCTTCAACCAAAGGCCTCCGCCGTGCCACCCCTTGTGCCCGAGCCGTGCTTGTCATGCGCGGGCCCAACGACCCCGCTGCCTTGCCTGCGCTCCGAAGCCGGCTGCCGGAGCCTTGGACTGACGCCCGCTTCGAACCTGCTGCCACCGTGCCAGCGCACAGTCAGTTACTCCGAGCGGACAATAGGGGAAGTGACCAACTCGAATTGGCCTGGGGCGTATCTTGGTCCCCGGAAGAGTTCATACATAAAGCGGTCGAAGCGGGACATCCTAAAAGGTTTGACTCGCTGCTGCCTTCCGCACTAAGCCACAGCATAGATGTGAATGCAAAATCATCGCCGGCCGACAGAGCCAGCCTCAGAGCCGAATGGTTTGTGCAAAGTGGACCAAACGTGCGGCAGAGCTTTCTGAGGATGAAAAGAAGCTTAAGAGCTCCCTCCCAGATTATGCCCGGAAAATTGTCCTGCCAAAAAGGATCTTATTGTGGCGTGAAATTCTAGAGGATCTCAAGTATCCGGATGTTGGAGTGCTAGATGAAATGCTGGAAGGAGTGCACCTGACGGGTCAGACCCCTTGCACTGGAGTCTTTCCGGGAGCTTTTAAGCCAGCAAAACAGACTTCGGAACAGCTACGCTCCAAGGCCAGCGAGTCCCGCCAGAAGATCCTTGATGCGATTAAATCGCAGGGGCACCTGGATGAGGCGCTGGAACAAAAGGTCGACGAAGAGGTGGAGCTTGGCTGGCTGTCCGAGCCAATAGACCCTGCCGATTTGCCGGAAGGCGCCACAATCAGCAGGAGGTTTGCGATCGAACAGTCGGGCAAGATTCGCTTGATAGATGACCTTAGCGACAGTGGTGTCAATGGTTCCGTCCAAACCACCGAGAGCCCCAAGCCTCAATCCCTCGATGTGGTCGCTGCTATGGCCTTGGCTTGCCTCAGGAAGCTGTCCGGGATCCCCATGCTAGGGAAAACGTTCGACCTGAAGAGTGCATACAGGCAAATGTTTGTGTCGCCGGAAGACCTCAAGGAGGCCTACATTGCTTACTTCAGCCACCGCGAGGGTCGAGTGATTGTAAGGCAGATGCTTGCGCTCCCGTTCGGAGCAACTAGGGCGGTGTTCTCTTACTTGAGAGTGGCACATTCTATGTGGTACATCGGGTGCTGGGCGCTGAAACTGATATGGTCGCACTTCTTTGACGACTTCTTAAGCCTGGCGACTCAGGTCGAAGCCAAAGCAGTCGGCCTAGCAATCTCTTCATTGTCCAGGTTGCTGGGATGGAAGGTCTCAGAGGACAAGGACAAACCCTTTGCCGAGAGTTTTGCTGCGCTTGGGGTACGGGTTAGTTTCGAAAGGTTCTTGCAAGGGGAAGTTCTCTTCCATAACACGGAAAAGCGTATCTTAGAGGTTTCAGCCACATTGCGCCGCGCAGCTGACGATCCAGCCCTCACCCAGAAGGACCTCTCACGCATTCGGGGTCGCATGGTCTTTGCAGGGGGCCAGCTCTTCGGGAGAGCCGGCCGGTTATGCGTGGCCGCCCTGGCTGGTGAAAGCTGCTCGACCAAAGCAAACCTCAGCAACGATGCAAAGCAAGCTATGCTCCAGTTTGCCGACCTGCTTGAGGCCAACTGGCCGCGCGTGCTTAAAGATGTGTCAGCAAATCCGGTGTACATCTTCACTGATGCTTCGTATTCCGAAACGAGTGGAGGTACTTTCTGCGGTATAGGTGGAGTCTGCTTCGACCACGAAGGCCGCCCCCTTGGATTTTTCTCCGAGGAACTTTCTAGTTTCCAGAAACGTCTTCTAGGAGAGGGCAGGTCCAAGACCATCATCTTCGAGGCAGAACTTGCAACAATCGTGGTCGCATATGTCCTATGGAAAGATTGGCTTAGGGGGAGGCCCACTGTGATTTTTGTGGACAATAACTCCGCTAGAGACGTGTCAATCAGTGGCACCTCACCGAATGATGTGGGCAAGTCACTTGCATCACTTCTTTTAACGGTGGAATCCTTAGCCAAGACCTTTTCGTGGTTCGCGCGTGTCCCATCGCCATCGAACATAGCAGACACGCCTTCACGTGAAGTGCTGAAAAGCTTTACAGTGTCAGGTCGGCCCGTCCCTCATTTCCCATGCGAGAACATTGTTTCAGAAGTTCTGGGCATTTTGGTTAAGTAATACAACGGATAAGGAGGGGAGAATTCTTGATATCGGTTACACATTCTTTTGCAGGCGATGATTGGTCCGCCAGGCGATGATGTTCCGCCATCCGTAGTTGCAGGTTGAGGCTAAATGCCTCATTGCACCAAGGTACCCCTTGTCACCGCTGGTGAAAATGTCAGAAGCCTCCGGAATGCTGAGTGTGTGCTGTTCTCTCTTGAGTGTGAAGCTTCACATGCCAAGCTGCTAAGCCCTCAAGCGTGCTCCCTATCTCGGCAGCCGTTTTTGCTCAAGATATTAAGGAGGCCGTCAGTGCGAGCGCTGATAGTCCCTTAATATCTTGAGCACAAATTTTCTTGAAAAATCGGGCCTTGATTTTTAAAGAAAATGGCTGCCAGAAGTTTTCTGTCAGTGAGCGTCAAGTGGTGCTATTTTGCATCTTCTTGTCATCCGCGCTCGCCACCTCAAGGCATCTTGAAGTCAGTGTGCACAAGCATCAGTGACACTTTGCTGTAGCTCCACGAACAAGCCACAAGTCTTGCACATGTAAGGTTGCAGAATTTTTCTCTTCCCGCCCACCCACACCACTTGCATCTCAGATCTTGCGGCGAGTGACGCCACCTGCGGCCGAGTGCCGCATGCGTGAATCTAATCCCTCTGCATACCCCTGCCGATCCGGTCAGCGCGACCGCGGGTGCTTCGCTGATAATGCGTTCGGGGAGAATTCTTGATATCGGTTACACATTCTTTTGCAGGCGATGATTGGTCCGCCAGGCGATGATGTTCCGCCATCCGTAGTTGATATCGGTTACACATTCTTTTGCAGGCGATGATTGGTCCGCCAGGCGATGATGTTCCGCCATCCGTAGTTGCAGGTTGAGGCTAAATGCCTCATTGCACCAAGGTACCCCTTGTCACCGCTGGTGAAAATGTCAGAAGCATCCGGAATGCTGAGTGTGTGCTGTTCTCTCTTGAGTGTGAAGCTTCACATGCCAAGCTGCTAAGCCCTCAAGCGTGCTCCCTATCTCGGCAGCCGTTTTTGCTCAAGATATTAAATCGGAAGACTCTTCAGCACATGGCTGGAGTCCCAAGGTTGCAGTTCCATTGATTGGCAGGTGAAGGATGGTCAGCCATACTGCTTGAATTCTCTGGCTGCATTGTCCTCGGGTCTTAAAGATGCGGATATGACCCTCTTCAGTGCATTGCTCAGTGGTGTTCCTACTGGCTTCAAACACGATATCCCCATTTCAGGTGTTTTCGCTCCATCGAGTCGCTCAGCCTCAGATGATGCATTAACAGTTTGCCAGGAAAACTGGCAAGGTGCTGAGGACGACCCAGTCCTCCTTGAGGAGCTGGTGCAGATCGAGGTGGACAAAGGCTGGTTCCGGTGCATTGAATCGTTGGAAGCTGCACGCCGGATCTGGCCCAATGTTGCTGTTGGTAAGCTTAACATTGTACATTCAGAAGGCAGAAAACCTCGTTTGGTGGTTGATTCTTCCATTTGTGGTTCAAATGCTTGCTGCCTCATTCCTGAGCGTTCTGCATTGCCTACATTACAAACTATCCAAGCCTCTTGGCCATTACGGGGAAAGCTTGAACCCCTGGCAGCTTGGTCCATTGACGTTCAGGCAGCTCACAAGTCTATTATGGTTCGCGAGTCAGAACAAGGACTGCTTGGCATTCGAGTGGGTCCCAAGCTCCATTTTATACAGTTTGTCCATTCGGTGCAGCTTTTTTCAGCTTTCTGGTTTGCTCGCCTTGGTGCATTTTTCGTTCGCACCCTTCATCGCTTGATTTTCATTGCCCACTGGCTGGCAATGTATGTGGACGACTTACTTGGCTTTCAATCTGCATCAGTTGCAGAGATGAGCTTTTGCATTACTTTATGTTTCTGTGGGGCCTTTTCCATCCCCTTATCCTGGAAGAAATTACAGTTTGGATGCTCCATCCGTTGGATAGGATGGGAGCTCAATTTCAGTATGGGCTGTGTTTGCATCCCATCGGACAAGCTTGAAAGGTTGCATTCGGTTATCGTGTCGGCACTCCATGGCAAGTACACTGACCGTGCTACATTGAGCAAGTTGTGTGGCATGTTGCAGTGGCTTTTCAAACTTTTTCCATTGGCTAGGCCATGGCTGAGGTCTCTTTATCAGGATCTCAACACTCCACGTGCAACCAACTTCAGTGTTCGACAGAACGACTGGCAATCCTTCATTGCCTGCTTGAACGACACTTTACATTTGGTCAAGTTACCTCCTGGATCGGCGGTTACGGTGGGCAGCCGTGTTCTTGCGGTGAGACATCACAAGGTTTCCACCAAGCGCGAACTTTTACATTGCAACCTGGGAGATAAGGATATATGGCTTCGCATTGCAGACTCTGCCTCCAAACGTCGTGCATTGAGTCCATCCTCCAGAAGTCTGTTGCAGTTCTGGCTTGATTGGTCTGCATTGCCTCCAATTTGGCGATCGCTTCGCCCTATGGAGCATTTACAGGTGGAGGCAGCAGCTGATGCCATGGGCAACGGCCGCACCTTTGCTATAGGTGGCTGCATTGCTTTACCAGGCGGTGAATTTTGGTTTTCAGAATGCTTTACTGTGGAGGATTTTGCATTCGCAGAGCTTCCCTTGAAGTCTGAGGCGCACAAGGACATTACATGTTACGAGTGCCTTGGTCAGATTGCATTAGTTTGGCTTTTGAGTGTACTCAGCCCAGGATGCAAACTGTCTGTTCGCATGCATTCCTGGTGTGACAACAGTGGGGCGGAAGCCACTGCTAACAAGCTGTTCACTACATCCTGGCCTCTCGCAGCATTTGTGCAGCGACTGGCTATTTTAAGCAGTTTTACTGGCGTCCACGTGGATGTACATCACATTGCAGGCCCCAAGAACACTGAGGCGGACTTTTTGAGTCGCTGGCTTCCACCAGCTGCTTTGCCGGCTCGGTGGAGCCTCGCCCGACGTCGTCGCATTTCTTTGAAGGCACTTTGGCATGCCTCGCCTTCCATTTCGATTTCGCCTCCATCATGGAAGCCTCCTTTCAGCATTCCGAGCAGCTCTCCTTTAGGAGCAGCACTCTAATCACCTTGTCGCACGTTTTTCATTTGGGGAATTGATGCGCGACTTCGGTTCTCTGGCAGATTGCATTTGGGGGAAAACATGCAGACCCTTTTCACAGGCAGCTTCTTGCTGCTGAAGCTCGGATCTGCATTTCCCGCCAGAGAACAAAAGGAGCGAGTGTGTGCGAGTGATTGCATCAATTCCCCTTTTATACATTCTTTGCTTTATATGTATACATTTTTACATATAAAGCTGCATATAGGAAGCAGCTGCGAATACATTAACCGAACAGTATGTGTGCTTGCTCACGAGTGTTTGGTAATGTTTTGCATGCTTGCTGCATTCATGACATTCCATGTGCATTGCAGCAAGCAGGCTCGCAGCTGCCAGCTCGCCTGCATAGCGGGCAGAAACTTTTGTCCCACCCACCTCTTCCCTTTTCTGGGTGCGAGTGCTGGCGACTGCACTCTTACACTTTCTTCTGCTGGCTTGCATTTGCATTCGGTTACCTTTACCCGGTCTGTCCTTTAAAAGGATGGGTCCATCTGCATTCCCTCTCTCTATGGCAGGTCGGTGCCTTTTGATGCACCTAGATCCCATCTGGGGAGGGGGAAAACATGCAGACCCTTTTCACAGGCAGCTTCTTGCTGCTGAAGCTCGGATCTGCATTTCCCGCCAGAGAACAAAAGGAGCGAGTGTGTGCGAGTGACTGCATCAATTCCCCTTTTATACATTCTTTGCTTTATATGTATACATTTTTACATATAAAGCTGCATATAGGAAGCAGCTGCGAATACATTAACCGAACAGGCTGAAGCAGGCGAGCTCCCTGCTTCGAGCCTTGTTGCCCATGGTCCTCTGCGAGGCAGTCACAAGTCCCTCAGCAGCAGCAGCAACATCGTTGGCAACAACATGATGAATCACAGCCTGATGAAGAAGATGATGGCCGACGGCAACGGCATGAACATGATGGGACTGATGAGCTGCATGTCGACATGCATGCAGCAGTTTCAGCAGCAGTCCAACAGCTCGCAACTGCCGGGCTTCAAGTTGTTGGGAAAAGCCGGCGGCAACGAAGCCAGTCCAAATCGGGCTACAAGCATGATGGCGACGACGAGCCCACCGCACGACTCTCCAGAGTCCAGCCATCGTGTTTCAAGCCCGGTGCCGCCTCATCATCAGCAGCTTGCTGTGCCCGCCAGCCCGGTGCAGCCTCATCAGCAGCAGCTTGCTGTGGCCGCAAGCCTGGTGCAGCCTCACGATCAGCAGCTTGCTGTGCCCATGGCTGGGCAGGAGCCTGTGGGTCCGGCCGAGCAGGCTCGTCAGATGCTTGCTGCATGGAAGCGGCAGCAGAGGGAGATGAGGAAGATGAGGAGACTGAGAAGCCCCGGAAAAAGCCTGCCGCAAAGCTCCAGCAGACGAAGAGTGTGCAGCCGAAGAAGAAGCCGGCAGCGAAGGCGAAGTCGCAGTCCCAGCCCAAGCTGAGCATCAAGATTCCGAGCATGAGCAAGAGGTTGAAATTGCGACCGAACGGCTGCAGCAAATGCCGCAGCCGACCGGGCTGTTGTCCGTCGTGCTTCAAGAAGTGATTTTTGTTGGCATGCAGACATGACATGTGTCTCTGTGTGCGAAGTGAACAGTATATATCTGTAGATGTATATACAATCTAGATAGGAACGTGTATGCATGTCTATATGCCTTTCTTGCAGACTGTACAGGTGACTTCTGCAGTGATGGCCGATATACACAGACGGCAATGGCCGTGCACGTATACGGCAAGAAATCACGGGGACTGCAGAGACATCCTGCACCGTCTCAGGTCTATATATGTTTATCTGTGGTGCCATGGTGCACCGTTGTTCCATTCACCCGGGGTTTCAGTGCCATCAGCCTCAACGAACTTTGTGCACGGACAGAACAGTCTCTATGCCGTGTGCACGGAGGCTTGCATTGCAATCT